AGGAAGGAAGGAAGGAAGGAAGGAAGGAAGGAAGGAAGGAAGGAAGGGAGGGAGGGAAGAGAGGGAAGAAAGACAAATGGACAAGGGGGAGGAAGGGAGGGAGGGAGGGAAGGAGGGAGGGAGGGAAGGAAGGAGGGAGGGAGGGAAGGAGGGCAGATGAAAGGAAACATGAAGGAGAGAGAAAGAAGGGATGGAAGAGGGATAAAGAGAAAGAGGAGGAAGGGGAAGGAAGAAGGGGGGAGGGAGATAAAGAGAAAGAAAAAGGAGGGAGGAAGAAAGACAAAGAGAAAGAGGGAGGAGGGAAAAGAGAGGGATGGAGGAGGAACATAGGAAGGGAGAGAAGGGAGGAAGGAAGGGAAGAAAGACAAGAGAAAGAGGGAGGAGAGAGGGAACGAGGGAGGACATAAATGAAGGAAAAGAGGAAGGAGAGAGGGAGGGAGACCCAATACATTTTCCAATCTCCAAGATTGCTGCAAGAGGCCTCATCTTTTGGGACCAATGGAAAAAGAGGGGAAATTCTGCGACTGTCAGAGCTGTGGGCCTCTCACACTGCTCTGGTGCAAGCTCCTAGAGGTCAGAATTCTCCCCATCTGCACCCAGAATGGTTCTGAGGATTCCATAACACTTCGAGAGCCTCTGAGAGTGAGCTGGCTGGTTGCTAGGATTCTGCTTCGATCACATACGGGAAGCTTCGTCCTTAATGTAGAAAGGTGGTAGCATCGTCATGTCATGTAGACCACATCCGGTCGTATAGCACCCCGGAAAGCCCTTGGGTCTTCGAGAGCTTTGCTCACAGAACTGACCGGGTTGATTCTAATGGGACTCCTGAGGGGTGACTTTTACGAAAGCCAGTCCTTGTTCTGTCTAAGCCACCTTCCTACTTTGGGTGATGTGATCTCCTCTCACAGATGCTCTCCCCATCATTTGTCACCCACACGGAGGTTACACAGTCTAGGGGGAGCCTTACAGGAGTCTGTACAATGTCATTTGAACTTCCAGCCTTCAACTCTATTAACTAAATAAGTATCTTTTCTTTATAAAGTTAACCTGCCTCCAACATTTCATTATAGTAATGAAAAGGGGACTGATACCAGCCCCTCCTACCCCTAGGACACAGTGGCTCAAATGTTACTCACGTTCCATTCAAAGCCACCCATGGCAATGCCCGCAGCTGCTCCTGTCCCTGCCAGCCCCACAAAATGACCGCTTCCAATGTTACTGGCAAAGAGAGAGGCTCCAATCTGGAAAAACAAACAAATAAAGTAAGTTAGATAAGTAGGATGCGTCAGGCTGGACCAACGCAAGAGGAGACATGTCAGCCAATTGAAGGGATATGAGCTATCAGAGGCCAGCCGGGAACTTAGCCATGTTGCCCTCTGGGGGGGCCAGCTTCCACAGCAGGCAAGGGAACTTAAGAAATAAAACACAGAGAGAGAGACACACACACACACACGCACACACACAAAGAGGCTTGGAGGAGCGACGGGACACATCTGCATATCAGCTCACCCTGTGGGTCTTTTTTTGAGCCTGATTCTGAGCTGTGAGGAGGAGGTGGGAAGTCCCACAGCTCACAGAGATGCCCTGAGTCTCCTGTGAGGCTCTCAGCTTCCATCCTGGTCAGCCCAGGTGGCTGCAGGCCACTGGATGAGCGGGGAGGCTTGTCTAATGCGGGCTTTCAGCGAGTGCAGGAAATCACTTAGAAACCAGAGTCTTCAGCCTCTCGTCAAGGAGGAGCGTAGAGCTGGTGGTTTCTAGCCATTAAATCCTGGGGTTTTGTAGGCTTACAAGATGATATTAATGATAACTATTTTGAAAATGTGCATCATACTGTGATCCCTCCCCCAAAGGTCCTGGAGATACCCCAGGAACATGCACAAACCACGGCACTTCTCAAGGACACACATGCGAATCTGACAGCAGGTTAGAGAACAGATTAGATTCTCAAGTTTTGTGGCATATAGACTTCTGAAGTAAGACCTAATGATTCTTTGGATTTCCTCAAGGTCTGCTGTTATGTCTCCCTTTCATTTCTGATTTTGTTGATTTGGATAGTGTCTCTCTGCCTTTTAGCTTGTTTGGCTAAGGGTTTGTCTGTCTTGTTGATTTCAAAAAAACCAGCCCCTGGTTTTATTGATTCTTTCAATTGTTCTCTTTGTTTCTAATTTGTTGATTTCAGCCTTGAGTTTGATTATTTCCAGCCATCTATTCCTCCGTGGGGGGGGGGGCTTCTTCTTCTTCTTCTTCTTCTTCTTCTTCTTCTTCTTCTTCTTCTTCTTCTTCTTCTTCTTCTTCTTCAGCTTTCTGGTGTTTCATAAAGTTGCTTGTATGGGATATCTCCAATTTCTTCTTGAGTGCTTCTTCTTACTTAGTGCTGCAAACTTTCCTCTTAGCACTGCTTTCAGTGTGTTCCATAAGTTTGGGCATGTTATGCCTTCATTTCATTGATTTTTAGGAAGTCTTTAATTTCTTTCTTTATTTCTTCCCTGGCCCAGTTGTCATTGAATAGAGTTGTTCCGTTTCCATGTGTGCGTGGACTTTTTGTTATTTTTGTTGTTGAGGTCCAGCTTTAGTCCATGATGGTCTGATAGGATTATTTCAATCTTCTTGTATCTGTTGAGTCTTGCTTTGTGACCAAGTATATGGTCAATTTTAGAGAAGGTTTTGTGAGGTGCTGAGAAGAAGGTATATTCTTTTGTGTCTGGGTGAAAAGTTCTGTAGATGTCTATTAGGTCCATTTGATTCATGACCTCTGTTAGTGTCATTGTTTCTCTGTTTAGTTTCTGCTTTGTTGACCTGTCCTTTGGTGAGAGAGGGGTGTTGAAGTCTCCCACTATTAATGTGTGGGGATTGATAATATGCAGTTTAAGCTTTATAATGTTTATTATACAAATGAGGGTACCTTTGCATTTGGGACATAGGTGTTCAGAACTGAGATGCCGCCATGGTGGAATTTTCCTTTGATGAGAATGAAGTGTCCCTATTAAATTAGATATTAGAATGGCTACTCCAGCTTTCCTCTTGGTCCCATTTGCTTGGAAAACCTTCTTTCAGACTTTTACTCTCAGGTAATGTCTGTCTTTGTGGCAGAGATACATGTATGCAGCAGAATGATGGGTCCTGTTTTCACGTCCATTCTGTTAGTCTGTATCTTTTTATTGGAGAATTGAATCCTCTGACGTTGAGAGAGATTAATGACCAGTGACCGTTAGTTCCTTTTATGTTGAAAAGTTGGTTGTGGAAATATGTTTGTGTGATTGTCTACTTTTGGGTTTGCTGTGAAGTTTTTCGCATCCTGTGTAGTTAACCTCTTTGGGTGCAAGTTTTATACAGATGTCCTACATTCAGTCTCTCACACAGAGACTATAAAAATAATTAATAATTAAAATAACTTAAAATAATTAAAATAAAATAATCAAAAATAAAATAATTTTAAAGAAAGTCAATTTATTTGCTTTTTTAAAGAAAGAAAGAAAATGTCAACTAAAATAGGAAAAGGATCTTGCACTCCTTAAGTTGCGATGACGCTATGTCATAATAAACTCATCGGTCCGACACACTTAATACACTTAACTTACCAAACAAGTCTGTCTCAGTTGTGGGAATTTGAATGAGCATGGCCTCCACAGGCCCAGATATTTAAAAACTTGGCCCCTAGCTGATGGGACTGTCCAGGTGTGTTAGAGGGCCTTGCTGGAGGAAGCGTATCACTTTGGTTTCCCAGTGTGCTTTTTCGGCTTTATGGTTGTAGTGTGGGACATGAGCCCTTGAACCTCTGCTCTCAGCATCCACTTCCTGCTTCCTACTCCCCCCTCCCCCGCCACCATCATGGACTCTTAATTCTCTGGAACCATAAGTGCAAATAAACTGTTACTTCTGTAGGTTGCTTTGGTTGAGGTGCTCGTTACGGAAGCAAACAGTAGCTAAGACGCTGGCTTACCACAGAAAACTCACATGGCGCTATAGCTGGGCAGAATCATCTAGCATTTGATAATTACATGTTTAAAAATCTCCCATAATGTATGTGTCAGCAATCCTTCAAACCGTCCTACACTCCAAAAGATGAGCCATTAGTACCTTAAGGATCATCTGTAATTTTTTCCCCCATTTTTGTTAGTTAGATGAAATGAGACATTTTCCCAGTGTCTGTAAATCTGGAACAAAATATACATTACCAAAGCAGGAAGACACTCCAAGAACCCATCTAATTATACCAGCCGTGTCTCCAACATGGGGTAGCCAATGCTTGGTGAAAAATTGTAGCCAAAATAGAGGCAGGTTTTTGGAAACCCAGATAGAAGCAGTCTCAGAAGGGGGAGGGGAGGGCGAAAGTGCATTTATTCATTGTCCCAACCAATGTCAATGTAGCTCCTACTAAATGCGCCAGGTCTTGTTCTAGATAGAGATTAAGAGTAACAAAACCTCTATTCACAGGAAACCTGAGCCCCCAAAACAGCAGACATGAGCAACACTAAAGAAAAAGGCCAGAGAGTGATACCACAGAGCATAACATGGCGGCCACAGTGAAGAGTCAAACGCCATCTGTGGGAGACGGCAAAGACCGAAGATCTGAACGATGCAGTCAACCGTGGTGAGGTCAGGCTGTAAGCACCAGAGCATAGCGCTCCCGAGTGAGAATGAGGGCGGGGATGAAAGCAGACCAGAGTGCTGAAGTGTGGTGTGGGGGGGGGGGGGGGCAGCGTGAGGGGGGCTGGGAAGGCGGGAGGGCTGGGTTGTGGCCAAGACAGGAGTAGATTTTGTTCTCAGTATGACAGGAAGGCACTACAGAATTTCAATTCATTCATATATATATATATATTCCATTTGTTTCTAAGAACTGTTCTAAATTGTGCAGGGCGAATAATATTGGGCTGAAGAAGAAAGAGAGTCATCAGGTAGGCGGGCATCTCTGCATCTGGGTGAGACTGACGGTCAAGGCGGCTTGACCTAGGTGAGGCAAAGCTTGGGGACTGGGAGTGTGCCTTAGAAACAAAGCCAGCAGCCCTTGTTGGTGGATTTGATGAGGGAAAGTATAACCCAGGCTGACAACGTGCTCATTAAGAAAAGCTAATCTGTATAAGCAATGTTTTACAGACTAGGCAGGGAACACACATGTAATATATACATATATGTATTTATATGTAACAACAATTAATGAAAAAAAAAGAGGTCATGAATTTGAAAAACAAGCATGGGAGTGTTTGGAGGGAGGAAAGGGAAGAGGCAAATAATGTAATTAAATTATAATCTCAAAAAATAAAAGAAATATTTTTAAAAAGATCTAAGGGGATATCTTGTTTAAAAATATCCACCTCTTTCTGACTAAAGATTGATGAAGATGGTGGTCCAATTTTAACTACAATCTAAGATGGTCCGAATCAGATCTTTTCCTATAAAAGGAAGATTACTCCAAGAAAATGCTCTAATGATACCATCCCCTGATCCTGAACCATTATGTGTTCATTCACCTCTCCCCTGACTAATTATTAAGCCTAATGCTGTACAGCTGAAGACTTAATTATCAGAAATTATTAACTGAAATACTCCTCTCTTAAATCTGATAGACTTCTCTAGCGCCCCCCCCCCTACTGGGAGGCGGCTGATGTCAGCATCTCAGGCTGTCCCACTCTCTCCTCCCTGTCTGAGGAATGAACAGAATAAAGTCTGAGGAGTTTTGCTGGGACCCGGTTAAAGCCGCTATGTAAGGATCATCACTTTGCCTTTATTCTAGACTTGCTCCCAACCCATCCCCACCCCACGACCTGAGCTCAGTCAGCTACAAAGCCCTGACTCTGTCTCCACAATGTTATTGACATCTAGCACTCAAAGACTTTTTTCCACTTCCAGTCTTTTAAAGCAGACAAATTTGCTTATAATACAGCTGATTTTCAAGCACACAAACTTAAGTGCAAACAATGGGGTTAAACCCAGCAGAGTGACAAAGGTGCCCACAACAAAACTGATGTCCCAAGGTGATGGCAGACAGCCAGGCTGCGATCCTCTTCTGCAAAGCAAAAAGAGCACAGTGGGGGAGTGGACAGTTGGGTTTGTGGGTAACCTTAGCTTTTACCTGCTATTTAACTCACATAGCAAGAGGGCTTTACAGATGACCCACACCTGTTTAATTAACCACGTAGCATTTTCTACCATGTAATAGAAAGGCTACAATATTTCTTTTGGTCAAATCCTTTAGAGATTTTAGTATTACTTTCTCATTCTTTTGAAGTGCCAAGTGTCTTAA